AGCACGAAAATTATTTCAAATTTAAAAAATCTATGAAAAGAAAATGAGACAAATTTTTTTTTTAGATTAATAGACTCCCTTTTTAAAGCTGGATCGAATGGCAGTGGATTTTTAAAAATTCAATGTGTGGATCACATAATATTTCAAAAAATTTAACTTTTAAGTATAGATGATCCGCACTGTAGTTTTAATATATAACTTTTAATTTTGGTATTCACTTTCACCTCTTCAAAATAGTTTGGCGACCAACACTATACTAATACATACTAATACGAAAATGATACAGGCTAGATCTTTCTACGTGTTTTCCATATTAATATTAATATTAAAATGCATTTTTCATGTAAGAAAACCATATGGAAAGCATACGAAAAATTGCTCTCAAAAATATCCCGCGCTGGTTCTGTGTCGATATTTTTAGGTATGAGAAAATGCATGTTTTTGTACCAAACATTCATTTTTCTGATACTAATTAAAAATGTGTTTTTTTCGTTTCGCATCTGTTCAGTACCTTTCCTGTATTAGTATATAATTTTTTATAGGGCATAGATTTGTTGAAATAAGGTTTGATTGTATTATGCCTTTATTCTAGTTATAAGTACATTTTATTTTTAAATTTAAAATATAATAATATCAACTTTATAAATCTGGTTTGATTGGAATTGAATCCAGTTTTTTGATGATTTGGTTTGATCCAAAACAATCAACTCGATTCGATTCGTCCAGAGCTTTAACCTCGACTACAATTATTCCGAGGTTCTACCAACACCTTTATATTCATATTTAAAGTAAGGAAATTTAATTGTGTGGTTTTTATTTTCTTCCAAAACTAAAAACAATAAAACATTACTGATTTTAGAGTTCCATTGATTTATCAATGGAGTTATTACTTCATCGTAATCAAATTTTCATCTTCATCTTCATCTTCACTCAAATTTTGTATATCAAATTCAATAGAAAAATAATTAAAATGAAAAACATCTTTTATAAATGACAAGTTTTTTCTAAATGAATGTTTGTTTCTCTTAATTGAAAAAATCACTGGTTTAGAAACCAATTCTATTTTCCTATTTCATTGATTGCACCAACAATTGTATTGTATTGATTCTAATTTTATTTCACATTTCATTGCAAATTTATGTTCTTCAGATTAAATTTTTAGATCTGTATAATTTTTGATGCAATGTGAATAACGCCAAACAATTACTATTTTTTCAGGATTAATTTGTTCATTATCAATTATATTATTCATTGTACTGCTTTATTGTTTAAATTCACCATCTATCAATTTATTTTGTTAAATTACTTTCTGTTAGTGGCTAACTCTAAAATATCTATTGTAATGAGTGCATTAATGTTTTCTTGAATCGTCTTGATTTTTCATACATAAATATGGAGGTACAGGCTTAGTAAGTTGTTCTAAAAATGTTGTATTTAAAAAATTTATTTATTATGAAATTTGTTTTGTGTTTTATTCAAGTTTTTTGGAAGCAAAAAATTAAAGTTTTCTGTTTTTACATTTAATAAAGCTATACATTTTATCAAACTAAATAATCTGATGACATTTAAGTA